AGAGCAGAGGTAGACCGGGGGCTGCTCACACCAGTGGTCCTCCCTGAATCTCCAGGCCACATGGCCAAGGTCACACAGTAGGCTTTTTTAGGGGAAGAGGAGGAGACACGTACTTCTGTATTCCAGCTCGGATCCCTTCAAGATGCTTTTCACAGACTTGGTGAGAAACTGTCCTAAAGTGAAACAGTTCTAGGAAAGCTGTTTTCTTGTCTCATTTCCCGACATGTACTTCTTCACATTTATTAAAGAATCTAGGTTAAAGATGTGCAATCCTGTCTTCCGTCCTCTCCCCTGCCTCGAACATCTGAAGCAAATGAGGAAGTCCTAAGGAGTGACCAAGATGTGCAAATAGTGAAGCAGGAGAACATTCCATTTTGTTGATGCATTTGGGCAACGGTGGCTGTGTCTACACAGCCCTGGTGAACGGAGAGCGTCAGAGGGACAGGGGCAAGGTGGTGAATCTAGAAATGTCCAACCAGAGAGTTTAATCGCCTTAACAAGGGCAAAGGTACCCTTATGCCTCTCCACACCCCAAATTCCCAACCCCGCCTACTCCTACCGGTGACAGGGCAGACGAATGCTGAGCGGTTACGTGGGTTAGCAGGCAAGCAGATGGTGTCTTCATCTGCGTGACTTAAGGGTCACCAAAAGCTCCCTCTGGATCCGTATCCCCCGTCTTCCCTGCCCTGCAGCCAACACGTTTCCCTTTCTGCCCTTTGGTATAAGGCCCAAGGATTCCTATAGACGTGGTTTTCGAGTTGCAGCCCATGCCTCCATCAGCCTTAAGGCTAACTGGGTGATCAAGTGAACAAGAGGCAGGGAAGAGAGTGGGGCAGGAACAGTCCTGGCGGGGATGCCTGAGTCAGGGGTCCGGTTAAGGACCTCGGGGAACACCCAGGGAGCCCAGGGGGCTAAGGAACTTGGTGGTGGGGGACACAGACTAGGGAGCAAATGGAGGCCAAAGATGACCTCACACTGACCACGCACGGTTGCCTAGACCTTCCAGTGCAGAAAATTCACAAATCACTGGAAGTTACACATGGGCCAGTTTACCCAGCACGTACTGAAGTGGATTTAATCTTCACTTTGGATTCAAGGTCAAAGGTGTATCGGGGGCTCTATCTCTGGGTGGGCTCTGGGGTCCGTCAAGGAGAGCTGTATTATCAGTTCTCAAGGAAAAGCCAGATTTCCCTATGAGTCAGAAGTCGTGTCTGAATCCTGTTGCTGTCCCTGACCACCTGTATGTGCAGGACCAAGATCACTGAGCCTCAGTCTAGCCAATGTACTTGTGTTGAGCCTTATTTATGTACCAGGCATGGACTGCGTAGGCTCACAGATGAGTAAAGGTCACTGTCCTTTCCACTCCATTATTTATAAAAATGAGAGCCTTGCATCTTCCTGACAGGCATCAAAGAAGAATGGACCAGGCCATGCCCCATAAACTAAACAGCCCTACAGAAATGAGAGGACTTTTCCCGATAATGGGCCAGAGTAGGGTTTCCTATGAAGTCCTCTGAAGTGTGAGCAGGGATTCTATTAAAATAAAACCAGTATTCATTGTCTGTTTTCTTCTATACTTTACACATTGTTTTTAAGTGTTTGCCAGGCCTGGGAACTCAGGGAAGTGGCAGGGGGTGGCTTTGTGTACAAACCACATTTTCTAGTGTCTGTATTTGATACTTTGACATTTGGGGCCTTGCCGACCCTGAAGGAATTGCTCCTTTCTGGGTTAGCCAATTCCTAGAAATAGTGAATGACTCACCTTCCCGTGCACCTTTCATAGGCAAACCAACCCATCTAGAGCCCACACCCCAACCCAGGCATCTGACAACTAGAGACAGCCCTTCTACCCAAGAGCCCACTAAAATGATTCCAGCTAGCCAAACTGAAGCCCGTTTACACTGCCTTGCTCCTTCTTTTCCAGAGAAGCTACACGAGTGGCTCTTGCCCACATTTTCTCCTGTTCGCCCTGCCCCCTGACCTCCCTTGGTGCTTCCCCATGTGGCCTCTGTGGTGTGCTGGGCCTGTTTGGAGGGATCTGTGAGTATAAACCTCTTCTTTCCTGACAGTCATTTCCATGTCTGTGTGTCTCACCATATTTGACTTAAAACAAATCTTGGGTACCGTGAAAGCAGCTTGGTACATGGGCGCAGGACATCTGGCGTGCACAGGTACAGACATCCTGTCCCAAGGGCATGCCACGTGGCAGGGCCAGGCCTGTGTGCCCCAGCTACAAAACAAGCTTAGTTTCAACACAGATTTGTGGGAGGCAGCAAAGCAATGGGGTGAAGGGTAGGACTCCAGGGTTAGAATGGGTACGATTGTAGGTCCCCCACTTTCCACGTGTGTGCCTCAGATTCTTCTATGCATCACTTTCCTCCTGTTTAGATGGGATGATGCCAACAGGACTGCTTAAAAGGTTGGTGGGAGGATTCGATGAGATTATCAATGCGAAGACCGAGCCCAGGACCTGGGACTTGGGAAACACTCCTAAGTGAGTTATTTTTATTAACCCATTGTTCAAGGCTTATTGAGAAGTAAACCTACAAAATCAGATTTGAAGTATTCCTTAGAGTACGTTAAACCGTATTTTCTAGGTCAAAAATGACTGAATGCTGGTGATTTTATAGGGCTCCATCTTAGAAATTCATTTGTCTCTGACATTTGTTGTTTATTTTCATCCAAGTGAGAATTATATTTCAGTTTTTCCACAATTACGTTTGGGGACTCTTGTGTCAAGAAAGCCCCCTAACTTTGATTTGTTCAACAGGCTCTGGAAAGACACTCTGGCACTCTTGGTTTTAAATTTTCCACTTTCAGTGCTGTGTGTTTATAGCAGTAACAGTTTCCAAAAGAAAAAAAAATCACACATAATTTCCACACATTCTTTCAGGCAAACAAACATTGTCTCAACTTGAAGTGAAAATAAAGCTTTGCTAGCTTAAAAAAAAAAAAAAAGAACCAACCAACCAGGTATTCACAACGAAGCCTGCCTCTTTGCCGGAAACCCTCTAAACTGTGATAAGTGACAGGAGGCTTCGAAGTGATACTCAGCAGCAGCTTAAGAGAGAGTTGTGGAAATGGAAATTAACAAAGGATGCGACTGCGCTCACCGGCCAATCACGTGTCGGTTCCTTAATTAAGCGGCGCACTGTTGTCATGGGGACACGTGGGCGCAGCGTCCCGTAATTCCCACAGTCTTGGCACTCCCCGCGGCCAGGGTGCCTTTCCCTTTCTCGCTGGCTGCCACATGGGATACTCTGCTATTCCGGCATCTGGCATGATGGCCATGGCACACATTTTAAGCGAATTCCAAACCCCTGCTTATATTAATTCAAGGATAAAGCTGTCTGGAAGGAGCGCCATCAGCGTGAGGAGTACCCTTAAAATTCCTACGGAATGGCATTCAGTATTACGATAGGGCGGTGTCTCTCTAAGTCCATGACCCCTTTCATCAAAACCCCAAGGTTCTTTTCCAATTGCACAATCCCAGCCCCACCTTCAGATCTCCTGCCCTAGAATCTGCATTTTAACAAGCTGCCTCACCCAGTGAGCCCTACACCAGGACTGGCATCACTCTGAGTGCTAGGCGAGGCGCCTCTTAGGTCAGTTTAACTCAGTAGCCCGATCAGCTACCATTTACTTGTGTGTGTGGTTCATTAAACATTCATCTCACGAGGTTTAGGAATGCCTTTCAGATGAGTTAGGTTAGGCACGGTCAGGCTTTGGCTCTACCCCGTGTAGCCCAGATCTAGGGCCCCACTTGTGAAAGCTGACCTCCCTTCACTTCCAAACACTCAGGAACACTGAGCCCTGTTTGGGTAGGTTCCCAGAGGGCCCCCAGTTGGCCCTGGAGCCCATCATCCAGTCATAAACCCTGAACACGTTGGCAAGACCAACACGCTTAGCAGCATCTAGTTGGAGCCTCTGAGACAAAGCATGTATATTTATGCAAGCAACATATAGCAGAGGATCGTCTAAGGGTGAAGGGAAGATCCCGGGTAGAGCCTCAGCATTAGGACTTGGGGCCATTATGTTGGTCGGTTCTCATGGAAACTCTGGGACTAATTAGGCGGGGTAACGGACCCCACCGTGGGTCTGGAGTTAAGTACCAGTGACAGAGCCTGCCCCAGTCCGGGCTGCCATCAACTCCCTATTGCCTCATCTTTCCCTTTTTTCCCATCTCTGCGGTCTTATGAAATGTTAGATCATTCAAAGCGATTTGTTTTGTGTTGAGGTTTGAGGCCTGGAGCAAACCAAACGCAAACCTTCCGGTGCTAGGCTTGACCGTGGAGCGGGGGTGGGGGGTAGGGGTGGGGCTTGCACTGCTGAATTTCTGGCATAGGGCCTGCATTCCCATTTTCCCCAAGTCAAAAGTGAAACTGAGGGTGTAATTCGAGTTCAGAGGTGCAGCCAGAGTTCGGATCATTAGTTATCTGGGTAATTTCGGAGAGTAAGATTTTACTGCTTTGCTGATCGGCTTGATAATTCATCCAGTGTGGATTGCTGGCTCATCATAAAGTGGCCACTTCCTGTGCCTTAGGGTCAGAGGGAGCAGAAGACCTATGTACCAGACCCATGAAAACATGCTCACGGCAGTAGTGTAAAAAGGAGAATAAAGATGCAAAAACCAAGGTTACGGATCTTTATGTCACCAATGCAGCCCTATTGGGCTGTGTGTAGGCTGAGCCTGTTCTTTATTAACTGTTACGTTTTTTCTCACAGTACAAAACTCTTCCATCAGCCTGAAACTAAGTAAATGGATAAAGTGCATTTCCGTGGGACTTTGTGCCCCGGCATAAACAAGTGTGGGAGTGCGTTCTTCTCGAATGGGAGATAACATTTACGAGCACAAAACGCATCTTGGGAACATGAAAATCCAAATGCAAATATGAAAAGCACATGTTCTCACTCCTCCTCCCTCGATGAGTCTTATACCCCTGTGTGCACGTTTGCATGACAAAAGACACTGTCGCAATTATATGACAATTGAAGCTTACCATTGTTGTAAGAGCGAAAATTTCCTACAAATTTTATGTATTCATAAGTTGGAAATTCCTTTGGGTTCCAGCTGCCTCTGAGGAGATGGCAATAAAACTCTAAATCGCTGTCAGCTGGGTGGTCAAAGGAAAAAGAGAAAAGGAACGTGAATATGACATAGATTCTAGACCAAACAAGTTGTGTCTTTGCATAACTCCCGGGCTTCAGTCTACACACGGCCAGGACATTTCTCTCACTACGACTGACTCTTGGACATGGTTTTATAACCTTTGAAGAACAGGGGTTTCCCCTCATAGCTTATATAGATGTTTTGCATCCCATACTTGGGCCCAATTAGTCTTAATTTGCTCACAGATGTCTGTGGTTGGTTATGTCGGCATTGATTAGTTCCGGCTGTTTTCATATGGTGTATTAAAACAAAGCTGCTCATATAGAGCTGCTCTCTTTAATCTAATCTTTTCACGTTGCTTTGAAGTAAAATCAGATGTACAACAGGACACATTATTCACGGAAAATGAACTAAGGCCTGAATGAGTAAGTACGAGGCACTTGCACGATCTCCCTCAGTGTCTGTGCTTCATTAACGGACACACGGTTCAGGAGGCACTGAGGCTGGCCTTCCATCCAGGTTGCCAATTTTGAGAAAAACTTTAAAATTCCATAAAAACCGCAAATGTATATAATAAATAACCAGATGACAGCCTCAGGAGAAGAGAATTTGGAGTTTTGACCTAATTATTCATTCTGCAGTTGGTGACTTGGTTATCATATGAATCTAGCATTACGGTATCCTCTAAAATAAGCAGATTGTGCACTGATTTTTGCATTGTTTGGTACCAAAAGACTCTCGTGTTAAAAAAAAAAAAAGAGCTTCTTGTATTACATGCAAAACAAATTCTTATTCGTAAGCGCCATGCTTTCAAATTTTCCACAGAGAAGTTAAATGTCATACATATTCCAAACTCCAGTTTTAGCTTTAAATTTAAAATATACCTCTAAGGATCTTGGAAATATTCTGAGTCACAAGAAAAATTGTTCTTAAAATTAGTCCTCCCTTCTTAATTCATTCTAACCTTCTTTCAAAAGTAAAATTCTTATCTTTATATCTTGTAAAACTAGTAAAGTTAAACTTACATTTTAAGTATTCTGGGGAGGGGGAATCTGTCACAAGCATATGGGAAGAAAGCATTTTATACACTTCTGAATGTTCTTGTTCTGGAAGGAAATTTAACAAATTCTGATCCATGACATCTGACTGAAAAAGAAAATAAAGAACAAAGGTACACACTCAACAAAGATGAAAAACAAAAGCAAAAGCCAAAACTAAACATTGAAGACAATTCAGAACTGGTTTCTGAAATGAAAAGTTCAAGATCCGATTTTCTGTGAAGACGCTTGAATCCATCACTCTGTCATCCTGAATTATAACCTAGAAGGGTTTACCTGCTCCAATGCAAAAGTATTGCCCATGGGCCCAAGAAAGAAGTAAGAGTTAAGTCGGACAAGCATGCAGAGAGTCCTACTCTTCCTGGAGGACCCCACCTGCCGACACTCCTGTGTTCTGGCCAGGGTGGCAGGGGCATCGAGGGACCCCCGGGCAGGCCCACTCGCTCATGGGAAGGGCCCCGAAGAACTCAAAGGGTTCCTTTTCTGACCATTAGGCCCGCAAACGAACACCTCAAAGTGTCCTCAATCAAAGGAACTGTGCTATTTTTTCTGAGTGATTGGGCACTGAGATACAAACATACAACAGAGAATCTAGATACAGCACTGTCCAAGAGAACCGTCTAAGGTGATGGAAATGGTCTATCATGTGTGCTGTCCCTTGTGAAAGCAACCAGCCACGTGGCTATGAGCACTGAAACGTGGCTGGTATGACTGAAGACTGGTTTTTTAAAATTACATTTATTTTTAATTTTTATTTTTTTAGAGAGAGTGTGCACATGTGTGGTGGGGGGAGGGGCAGAGGGAGCGAGAGAATCCCAAGCAGGCTCCACATCTAGCATGGGGCCCAATGCAGGACTCAATCTCATAACCCTGAGATCATGACCTGGGCCGAAACCAAGAGTTGGACACTCCACCCACTGAGCCACCCAGTGCCCCTGAAGACTGAATTTTTAATTGTATTTAATTTTAATTGTTTTAATTGGTATTTAAAAAGCCACATGTGGCTAGTGGCTCCCATATTCGCTAGTGCAGGTGGAAGCTGACAGAGGAGAGAGAGAGAGAAGATAGGCACGTCTCTTGCTGCCTCAGTCTCCCTTGATAAACTCATCCTTTCCTGTATTTTTAAACACGATCTTATAAACTCTTAAATTTGTATATCTAGGTAACTCTCTATTGTGTGTCCCCCGGGGATCAGAGGTTGACGTGCACCCCCAATGGCATTCTTTTGCACCCATACCTCCTCCTCCTCTGTGCTCAATGTCCCTATGGTATTGCCAACTGATCACTTGCCCATACCAGACACCCTGGTGGCATCCTCAGCTTCTCCCCCTCCCGCCCTCATCTTCACATCCAAACAACGTCCAAGTGCTGAGACACTCCTCCCTCAAATTCTCTCAGATCCTCTCACCTCCCTTTATTCCCATGGCTTTGACCCCCAGTCTAGAACACCATCATTTCTTATCTGGGGCATGAACTGACCAAACTGGTCTTCCCACATTGACTTTTGTCCCTGTCCCACGTATTCTCCACCAGCAGCCAGAAGGAGGCCTGTATCAGATCAGGTCACCACCTTGCTTAAAATGATCTATTGGCAGGGGTGCCTGGCTGGCTCAGTCCATAGTGCTTGTGACTCTTGATCTCAGTGTCGTGAGTTCAAGCCCCATGTTGGGTATAGCCCTGACTTCAAAACAAAACAAAACAAAACAAAAACTGTCTGTTGGTGGCCAAATGCTCCCAGAATGAAGCCTGAAGCTCCCAATTCACTTCTGAGGCTCGTACTACTCCCCACCCTCCAAATTTCCTTTTCTCCAGTTGGCCAGCTTGCTCTTCCTTCTGGGCCTTCCCCAGGTTGCACCCCGAGGTGAGGACATCGTGCACCTCTCCGTGTGTTTGGCTAACTCCTGTACCTCCTTCAGGTCCCTGCTTTAAAGGCACTGGCCCTGAGGAAGCACCCATGGATGTCACCTTCACTGTTGGGGCTCTGGCCTCTGAAGCCCCCTGCTCTACTTGTTCTGCAGTCCTGTAAGTGCTGGGGAGGGGCAGGTCCCCCAGACGGGAAGGTGGAGAGAGGCCCAGAGGTCAGGACTGAAAGCTGGCTCTGCACCCCCATCAACCAAAAGATGAGGAAGCTGTGAGGGTGGCGTAAGCTGCTGGTCAATCACTCAATGAATGCTCAGTGTGATCAGGTGTTTCATAACCGTTCAGGAAAGTTCTCAAAGTTCTCTTGTTCGTTCATGTGCTGATGTGTGTCCTCTGCCTGCTTCATCCAATGGGAGCCCCAGGAGAGCAGGGACTCCATCTGCCTTCTTCACCCCTGGGTGCCTGACATTGAATGGTGCTTGGCCTTCGAGAAAAATGCACTGACTAGCTGAAAGAAGTGGCGGGGGGTGGTGCGCAAGCAAGACAACAGGAGTCAAAACAAGGCACCCCGAGAACACTGAGCGTGGTGTACAGAGTTCAGTCATATGGACAGAGAGGTTCCCAGGGAATGATTCCCACAGGGAGGAATCCCTGAGCAGGAGCTGAAGGACAAGATGGTGTCTGCCGGGCAGCCAGGGTGCTCCAGGCAGGAGGTACGGTGCGCACAAAAGCATCACAGGAGGGAGGAGAGCGGTGGAGGCAGGTGGTGCAAAGGGAAGCGAGGCCAGAGCCAAGAAGGCCACAGAGGAGTGAGTGCCTTGTTCTGTGCGCCTGGGGTGGGGGGGATGGGACCCACTGAGGGGCCGAGAGGAAGGGACGGCCAGACTGTACTTGTGCTTTCTGGCCTGAAGAGGGAGGGAACACAGGACACCACCAGGCTAGAGAAGGTCAGTCTGAACAGGCTCAGGGAAAGGGGGACGTGATGTGCAGGATAGAGAGTCCAAACAGGTCACGCAACAGAATCCACCCAATGCTGACTGAGGGCCACCGTGTGCCAGCCAGCACCTTGGGCACTGGGAAGAAACACAGGAAGCAGGGGAGGCCCTCCCCTCTTGCAGCCAGCAGTCCAGGGGCTGTGAGGAAGGGGGACACCACTTGGTGGCCGATGAAGGACAGGAGGTGGAAAAGGAGGGACTCCCAGCTCGATGGCGCCTGGGCTTGATCTCTGTGGGCAAAGACTCTGCGAACCCCTGACTAGCCTGTGCTATCATTTTCTCCTTCGGGCTCTCTCCAAGTTCCTTCTGATGTTCTTGATTTTATTTTAAGCTCATTCCCTTTAATTTTTTAGATGATGACTAATGCTCACAGATGACAGTAGTCTTTCTTCTTAAAGACACTGCAGATACAAGAAAATGATGACTAAGTCACTCCATGGCCTTTTCTTGGAGAGCCTGTTGGAAGCCCCCTTGCCCTGATGTGAGTATGACAGAGAGCAGGGTTCCGGGGCTGCCTGACTTAGCTGCTTCTGTGGAACACAGGACTGTGGGGGCACCTTGGGCTACAGGTTCCTCACAGAATAAAGATGAACCCCGGATGGAGGTTGGTGGGGTGGTGGTGGTAAGGATTGAGTTGACACCCGCAAAGGGCTCAGAGCCATCTCTTGCTATGTACTCACTATTATATTACTATTATGCCATTTCCACGTGCCGATAGGCAACACAAACAATGATGGTTTGAAAATTTAAACTCTGGTGCTTACAGGAGAATAAATTCTGTCTGCACTTGAACTATCCCTTGAATGAGCTGAGCTCTGTTTATTAAAATGACAGCAATTACAGAGACAAGGGAGGGCACGTGCCATCCGCATCCATCTTCCCAGCTGAATCACAGTGTTGGGAACATCATTTACCTGTTGGAGACAGAAGGTTCTCTACCCCAGCTTACTGATAGGTCCTTGGCTGCTTCCTCAAGAACCTTTACCAAAACCACTTTCACTACGAACACCTGTCCTAATTCCAAATCGCACATCTCCCGTGTTTCTTCTTGCGCCCCTCGGGAGCCTGGGGATGATCGGGAAGTGCTTCGGGACACAGCAAGGCATTGTCCTCTCTCCCTAGGAACCAGCAGCACCAGTTCGGTGGCACCCAGCCGAGTAAAAGGAGCCCACCCACGGAGCGCACAGAAGCCGGCTGGCTGAGTCGGAAGGGAGCTGGGTGGACCCTCTGTCCTGCAAGGTCCCAAACGGGCCCTGGCAGTTCTGGCTGGAGATGTGTTGGCCACGGTGAGAAGTCTTGGAGAAGGGGCAATCGTGAGATGTCGTGGAGGAGCCTCATGCTGAGAAGAGGCAGGAATGGGCTCCCCGAAGCAGTCAGGGGCTCAGTCTCCCTAAAGGGCCAGGGGGTTGGAGGCACATCCGATAGGCTTTGATGCAGTCTAGACCCAGAATCTAACTGATGGCCCAACGGTAATGCTTTCAGAAGCCAGTACTGGGAGTGACTTTGACCTTAGAGTCGTGAAGAATTAATTAGAATATAAAAGGTACGAACTATAAAGAATCTCTGTTCATGAAAAGAACCTAGAGAGGGAGAGATGAGCCACAAGATGAGAGAACAGATTTGTAACACATAAGCCATGGTGTAAGTCCTAAAATTAAGGTTCAGTGTTAAATGCTGCCTTGTCACCTAGCAAAACTGGGAGGCCCTCAACGGGCCCAACTGAAAGTTCTCCTTCACACTCTGCCCCCGTGGAAAGGTCCCCTAGCTAAACAATGCTCCTTATCGAGGGGGACGGGCACAGTTCCTGCTCATTGCTGGGTAGTGGGTTTAACTCCCTGCCAGCCTGTGGAATTATTCTAATAAACCAGTCTCACCCCTGTGGGGACCGGGGGTGCCCCACCCTCCTGTTACTATGAAGCCTGCTTCTCACAGCCCCTGCTGGTGCGGCCCCGTGTGGCCCCATGTCCTCACCTGCCAGGCTATGAACGCATGAGACCGGTAAACGGCTGTCAAGCTCATCTGTCCAGTGTTGGGTGTTGGGCCTTCAGCCGGACCTGTATCCTTAAGGCAGAGTGAGCAGGAGGCGATTCAGACAGTATCCGACAGAGGACTAGTGTCAAGAACCATGGAAAGAATGCCTCCAAATTACAAGAAACAAACCAGACAGTCCAGTAGGAGAATGGCAAAATACCCGAACAAGCACTGTGTTCACAAAAGAGGAAATCCAAATGGCAAACACGCATATGCAAAGACGCTCAATCGCATTAGTAATCGGGAGAAAGGCAAGTTAAAACTTCACGAGTTATGTTCACGTGCGAGACTGACAAATGCTAAGAAGCCTGACAATCCACGTTCTGTGACATGGGGCGCCTAGGACTCTCGACTCTGCTGGTGGAGGGTAGACTGGTGCAACCATTGTTAACGACCTGGTGTCATCTGGTACACCCGTGAAGGTGCCCGCACTCTCCAATCCGGCCATCCTACACGTAAGTTCTCTACGGCATGCTTGCAAATGTTCATCAGGAAACATATGCAGCATGTTCACCAAAGCACCTTCTAAGAGTTCCAACCAGGAATGGATGCAGAAATGTTAGCACAGGGCGCATGGGTGGCTCAGATGGTTAAGCGTCTGCCTTCGGCTCAGGTCATGATCCCAGGGTCCTGGGATCGAGTCCCGCATTGGGCTCCCTGCTCCTGGGGAGCCTGCTTCTCCCTCTGCCTCTCTCTCTCTCTGTCTCTCTGTCTCTCATGAATAAATAAATAAAATCTTAAAAAAAAAAAAAAAGAAATGTTAGCACATTCCTCCAATGGAATACTAAGCAGCAACGACATAAACCCGTGACCACCACTACTAACGGTGTGAGATGGATGGATCTCACAAACAACGTGGAGCAAGAGGAGTCCATTTCCTATTTTCCTAAAGTTAGCCAGAAGGGAATACTAAATCATATTGTTGAGTGACAAATCAAAAGTTGGTAGAACTACAAAGAAAACCAAGGAAGCAATGATCTTAAAAGCCAGGAAAATGGTCATCTCTGATTGGGAGGTGGGGGGGTGTGATGGGAAAAAAATACACGGGAGCTTCTATGGTTCCCAAACATAATTCTGTTTCTTCACCTCGGTGACAGCTACCTGTATGTTTGCGCTCACTTTATCATGAATTTAAACACTGAATGTATGTTTTATACATACTTCTGTATGCATGCTTTATAAAAATCAAAAGGCACATTAAAGTAGAAAAAATCGGGGCACTTGGGTGGCTCAGTCGGTTAAGCAGTTGCTCAGGTCATGATCTCAGGATCCTGGGATCAAGCCCCGCATCGGGCTCCCTGCTTAGCAGGGAGTCTGCTCCTCTTTCTGCCTGCCGATCCCCCTGCTTGTGCTCTGTCTCTCTCTCAAATAAATAAATAAAATCTTTAAAATAAAATAAAATAAAATAAAATAAAATAAAATAAAATAAACCAAACCTAACTGGTGACCTGGACTCTTTCAACCTGTGGCCAGCTCTGCGCTGCATGCAGCCACACCTACCATAGCCCACCTAGACAGAGCGAGCCCCCAGCTCAGCCCCCACCCAGAGCCATCTCTGACCAGATGCCTGGGATCAGGCGGGTCCTTCCAGCAGGTGAGGGGCAGGCCGGGGAAGGAAGGGCAGAGCAATGTCTCCTGGGAGGTGTTTCATGGACTTGCTGCTGTGTTGCGTGGTAACGTAAGCCAGGGGCTCTGTCTTTCCTTTTCTGCGACCTCCTCTCCCTGCTGTGACCCTTGCCATGGGAACTTGGCCCTTTATTCTACTTTCATCTTGCACTGCTTGCTGGAGCTTTCACTGGGAGAACCAGCATTCCACGGAAGTAGTTTTTGGTCTATAGATTTCTCCACATTTATAAGCACTTTTGCCTTAGATGATTTTCCTTTGGGGAGGTGGTGTTGTCCGTGCCCATATTTCTCCCTTTGGAGGCACCTCCCACTCCTGCCGAGCTGTTTGGATGGCTCCCGAGGTAGCAGCCCCATTTATGAACTCAGCCCCTCACTCAATGAATACTTAGGCACGTCGGGTCTGTGCTCAAGCCTGGAGACAGGAAATCTGCCGTATGGACCGGTAGCATGGTCCAGCCCACTAAGCAAACATCGCAATCATTAACAAATCAAAACAGCAACAGTGCAGGGGGTGGGCCGAAACACAAAGGTTAGACAAACAATGGGGTAATGCAAAGGCATCTGCCTAGCAAGGTAAAAACTGCTTTTTTGGGCTATACCGCACAGTGACCAGCAAAGGAAGAATGTGGACAGTGGCCCTGATCTGCATCATTTGCAGAAACGAAGTGATGGGGAGTAGCTTCTGAGGAAAAGGGTAGCCCAGGAAAATATGGAATCTTGGGCCAGTAGCAAAGCTGGGCTCATCACCCCAAGGAAGGCGAGCTGCTCACGGAACAAGGCTGCGCTCTCCCCCAGCACGTGCAGCTAAGGAGAGGGGGCCATGGTCCTCTGGTGTCTTCCTGGCCCAGGATTTCCTTTGTACAGGAACCAAGGGAAGTTGTGCTGGGAGTGGGGAGCGGTGGGGTTAAGTGGTTTGATAGGGCTTGTGGGGAGGAGAGAGAAGAGAGGAGGCTTTATCCCCATCAGGATGCTGCTGGTAGAACTGTCATTCAAAGTCACAGTCTGTAGGAATAAATAACGTGTGGCAGGAAATGGAAGGCTGGCCAAATGCCTTTGAGGGATCCCCAGAGGTGGACCGTCCACCAGCCAGGTGCTGCTTGGTGAGCCAGGTCCTTCTGACTGGGGGTTACCAGGTGCCAGGCAGGCTAAGGCAGAGAGGAGGAGGAGAGGGAGGGAGGAGGAGAGGCAGAGAGGGAAGAAGGTAGGGAAGGAGGGAGTAAGAAGGGGAGAAAGGAGCATCTAGGAGGGCCTTTGTCAAGCAGCACCCAGCCCGTCTCTGAGCCTCCATCTGGAGTCCCTGGGACAGCAGAGCTTGTCGTCCTGCCCACACCCTCCCCATTCCCCAAGGCCTCCCTGGTCCAAACAAACACATCTTCCCAGAATATTTCAACTCTCCCCCCACCGCCCCCATCACCCCTGTCACAGATCCTTTATTACCATTAAGTGTCACCACCTACTTGCAATCTCAGACATGTCCCCAAACCACGTCCCATCTCAAGCCATCTGCTGCGCATTCCTCCACCAGCTCTCAGTTCACCTGGGAGGTCGGCTTTTCCCTTCGTAGGATATACATCAGCCTCTGTCCAGGCTCTAAGATCTGCTAACTGTGCTAGGCCTCTGTCGTCAGCTCAGCTCCTGTGTGGTTTCTGGGGCACAGAAGGGTAAGGACCTGCACCCACATCCCCCTGCCAGGTTTTGCCATGTCGAGATCTGGGTGCCTTGTTTGTTCTAGAACAGCATATTCCTGCACCTGCCCTTCCTCTAGAAGACCCTCCCCCCCAGGACTCTGGCCTCAGCCTTGTTGAGGACACTCCTTAACCCTTCTTACACACAGACCCCCTCAGACCTACATCACCCCCGATCTGAGATCTGAATGGTTCTCAAGGGAAGACGATAATGTGGACTGGCAAAGGCCAGCAGAGCAGAAACTTACTGGTAAGTGCCCAAGGAGAGGTGTGATACTGTCAGAAACATACAGGATGCTGCCGTCCGTTGTCACTGCAATAATGAAGCCGTCCAGTGCCTGCAGAGAACCCAACAGTGGAAGGCTCCTTAGTGGCGCTTTTATGGAGGAGGATGTCACTGAAGCAAAGGATCCCCTATTATGACACTGAATTTACTTTGCAATTCTTAGAATATTTCCACAAATAACCTCACTGCACTTTTCAGCCTAGCACACAGGATGGTTTTGTATGCAGAATTTGTCTAGCCCAGGCAAACGGCTTGCTAAAGCACTAAAGGGCTCCCTGGAAAATCTGATCTCTTGGTATCCTAAAACTCAATTTAGCCATGGGAATTACCTAAGTAGTTTTAATGGTAAGCATCCCGTTGGGCTGGACCAGAAACATCACAGTTACCATTAAAAAGATGATATTTTATGGTTCCCATCCCCTGATCCCCAATATCGCTTTGAGTTCAGTGGTAAACATGGACCAGAAGGTATCGGACGGACCTAACAGGTGCATTAACAACTGTCGGTCAGGGTCGGCCTCTGCCCACATTCATTGCCACAGGAGGAGTGCCTCCCGAAGCAACTGTTTGTCAAGAACATTCGCTTTACTTGCTAAGTGTCTACTGTATGTGAGGCATGCTGCTCTAGGTGCTTCTGATAGAAAAGAAAGGATGCAGGCTGTTAATGTTTCCTCACACTTCTGCTGTTTTGTTTTTAGATTCCTTATTGGATGCTCACGATGCTTTCATAAGACACATCTGAAAGTTGATTTCTAAAATTCAGACTGTGTAATTCAGCAATGAATGGGGTCATCCTGGCAACGGGATATACGGGTGCCCCAAATAGAAGGAAAAGACTAAGACAAGCCCATCTCATTGGAAAATGAGTCTCTGAGGGAATTACGCTCAGGTGGACCGTTACTGTAAACCTATCACTTTGTACCGACTGCATCTTTGAAATAGCATCTTCCTCGAATGTGAGAATTTTTCCTCTTTAAAGGAAAAAAAAAAAGCCACACTGAAATATGTGCTTAGAAAGTTCTGGAAACATTTTGTATGCACTCGGCTAGTTCCTCCCAGGGTGTTACTGGAAGTCTGCACGGTCAAAGGGGCATTAATTTGTTCAGTTAGGAGGGTGCAGCTAGGTGCACTGCAACAGGAACCAGAAACGGTCCACTAACTGGGCATGGAGGGCACCGTGCCAGGATGGGAGAGAGCTCTCTTCACCAGGAAAATGAACACTAGGGTCATTTATTATTTTATCTTACATATTGCAGGATTTAAGACTGAAAAATAGATTAAAGCATGTTTCTTTTTTTTTTTTAAAGATTTTTTTTAAAGATTTTTATTTATTTATTTATTTGAGAGAGAGAGTGAGAGAGAGAAAGAGCACAAGAGGGGGGAGCGGGAGAGGGAGAAGCAGACTCCCCGCCGAGCAGGGAGCCTGATGCGGAACTCGATCCCGGGACTCCAGGATCATGACCTGAGCCGAAGGCAGTCGCTTAACCAACTGAGCCACCCAGGCGCCCTTAAAGCATGTTTCTTAAGAGGACCTCATCCTTTTGGGTTACATCAGTGGTTTTCAACTGGGGGCACTTTTGCCCCCTCTCCCCTCACCCCTGTTGGGAGACATCTAGCGATGGCAGCACACATTTTTGGTGGTCACTACTGGGGTGGGTGCTGTTGTCATCTAGTGGGTAGAGGCCAAAGATGCTCTGAAACACCCTACAATGCACAGGACACCCCCATAACAAAGAAGGTGTCAACAGGGCCGAAGATGAGAAATCCCAAATAAGATTTATGGGCCATGGTGAACCCAGAGGTATATCCTGGTACCTTTTGTTTCTTTTCCTAATGGTTTTTTCAGTTCTATTTGCGGCACTCCTAGAGATGAGCTTTAAGAGGTGGGAGCTGTTGAGGAGGTGAGTGGGACCTTTTTGGAAAAAGCAGGGCAGCATACTGGGAAAAGAGAAGCAGTCCAAACGATCTTCTTGCGCAGTGAGCCCAAGCCCCTCTTGGATTTCTAAAGCATGTGGGTGTTAAAAAGCTGAAGGTATTTATAGATGGGAGATAACTTTCATCAGCTTATTGGCGTCTTCCATTAAATGCACAAGAGGTGTGCTGAGTCCCTGCTTGGAGTGCACTTGCCGGGCTTTAGAGGGTCCCATCAGCCTGATCTGAGGGACTCAGCAGACTGACTGCAAAGTCGCAAAGTAAAGGTGACTGTGACGGCAGCTTTAGGGATGCCAAAATACCACAACGGCCCCAATTTTATACTTGCCACACACCAGAGGAAACGAAAACACCCCTTTCTGCCAATTCCTGATTCTGATGCTTCCTGTGTTCCTGGGGACAACCTCTGGGCTAAGAGAAAAGACGCTGAATACAATTCAGAAGAAATGCTACAAACTCACTAGGGACCAGTCAGCAAGAGCTGCTGCCCCTTCGTCTGAGTCGTCGTGTTCAGGTGCTTGTAGTCAGCATCTACGTCCGCTTACACGGTACCCGCCTGGGGGGTCTGCAGCCAAGGCACTTTTGTTCTTTCAAATCCCATGACTGTGCACAGCCTCCCGGAGTCTGGGCTGGGGCCTTTCTGAGAGGAGAGGGGAGGAGTTGGGACTCACATCAAGAGGGCACAGCACCCTGGGGCCTGATGGGTTCTGTCTGGATTTAAAACGGAACCTCACGGTTACCAAGACATGGCATCTGAATTCCTCACAGTCCCTGAAATGGCTCTGGAAAAGGAGAGGCTGTGTGGCTGGAAAGGGACACACACGAGTAAGAAGATGCCTAGTGGCAAATGGTGACAACCTCATCCTCTGGCCCGGGCCATCTGGGAGAAGATACTGCAAGTGCGGTTACTCATCGCCAGGTCTGTGTCTCCTGAAGGGCAACAGGTTGGAACAGAAGCTTAGAACAGTCAGAGATAAATCAGAAGCACTAGTGGGTGGGTTTCCCAGGCTCCTCAAAGCTGCAATTTGCCCAGAAGACCTGCTTGTTGCACAGGATTAACTTCAGGCTTAATTCACTCATTGGGCACGATTCCTTCAGATTCGCTTCAAGGAGTCTATACTGGGAGCTGAGGAACGTGCAGAAAGAATATACATACAAATCTAAAATCTTCTTTTTCTAGAAATTCCAGTCTCCCAAATCTCAGTCCTGCCTTTCAGCCCAAATATGTATCCATTTTTAACTTTCTAAAAGTCTTGTTTCCTCAGACACTTTTGATATCTTGAAACTCAGTGGGGGGGAAAAAAAAGAAAGATGTGCTACAGGCTCTTAAAAAGAGGCTGGGTGCTATAGGGTTATGCGTTTTAACTACTGTCCCTAAGAATTAAAAGATAAAACGGTTTATGTAAAGTAGCATAATGATGCATTAATTCAACATTATATTTCACAAGCTGGTCTAAATTTAACATACTTAAAATGCATTGCTTCTGGAGAAAGTTCTGTATTTTCTTTAAATATAGTTCACATGTAGATTTAAGTATCTTTCATTTTATGCAAATGTTCATTAATGCGCTTATATTTCATAATATTTGGACATCTTCATTCTGGCATTTTCTTACTCCAGTACTTTCTGTTTTCTGCATAGTTAATCTATGTAAATTAAAGTTTACATCAGTCTTATACACGCACCTAGGATGAGATATAGAAAGAAGCCACTCTCCAAAAACCCTGCCAGGAACCACTGACATGTAGCCAGCATCTAACTTCCTTTCGCTGAACTCATTTGTCTCGGTTTCCTCTTCTAAGTCAAGGGCCCAGGCATGCCACGTCTGGAGCCTTCTCTCCCTCCACTGCCATGTCCATACACTCCCAGCCTAATCCCCAGTTGAGATGTCAGAGCACCCCGCCGCATGTTTTTGTAGAGACTCATCCTCATCTGTACAGATGGGTTTCACCCAAATGTAAACACAGGACACTGAAGAAGGCCACTGGCCCAGCTCGGCCAGATTTCCACAAATTTAGCCCTGAAGATGGGTGTGGGCACTTAACTTTCTAGAGGAAGAAGTGTGAGCATCTTTCCCAGCCCAGAAATGGCATGTGCTGGGTGGGGAGGCACAGGGTCACTTACGGGAGACACCCACATGCTATGTTGATGTAATATGAGCTCAAGTTAAAAGCCTAACTTTAAAAGAAGACTTTTGTTTTCAAAATGTGTTCTACCGAGGGAAACATATAATCATATAATCACTGCATTCTAAAGAGGAGACTCTGAGCCACAAAACAGTGCAGAGATGTACATTTCCCTTCCCTCCTTCCCCTCCCTCTACCTACCTGCACCCTTGTCCCTCCCCGGGTCCCCCACTGGGTGTCCTCTAGTTGGGAGACCATGAGCGGGCTCGCCCTGCACACACTCACATCCAGTTTGGGGATTCTTGCTTATACTGCCAAACTAGCCAAAAAATAAGCAAGAGCACGCAGGGATTCAAGGGGTGTCTGTTTCAAGACCTCTTTCCAGGGTCAAGAACAGTTGTTTACTTTGGGCACCGGGTCTTATCTGGAACAAGCAGCTACATTTTGATTTGCAATGAATTAAGCTAATTTGAAAGTGCATTTCACCTCCAACATCAGCTGGGTGAATTCTTCATTACTGAGGAATGAAGGCTTCCAGTCCTGCTGAATATCACAGATTTCCGTTTGCGCTGAGACTTCTAAAAAAAAAAACAAAACCCATAAATAAACGGTTATAGTCAAAGGCACCTTGGAATTAGAATTAACAAATGAAGCACACTTATTTCTATGTAATTTTGTGTAAACGTCTGTGTTGTTTAAATTAAAGAAGCCCAGATAAGGAAATAGGTTACCCTGATGTCCAAGGACTAGGAACTTTGGATGTAATGGGCTTAAAGGCGTCTCTGGATGTTTTCACACCCTTTTAATGAGGCTTCAGGAGAAGAGTCCTCCGCCCTCTGTGTGGCCAGAGCGCCTGCCAGTAGCAGGAGCACAATGCCCTTGAATTTCGGCATGAAAAGCAGTTGGGAGTTAGGCAGTCGCCACCTATCAAGGCAATGGGAACAAAGACCGGGACGGTGGGACACAGCCCTAAGCTGCCTCTTCATGGTCAAGGCAAAGCAGAACACTTTAGAAATCTGTGGGATTTTCAAAAATTCCAGACACACCTTAGGCTTGTAGTAAATAACCTCCTATGTCTAGGCAGAATGTCATGTATTTTTCAGCATTTCCAGGTACTGAAGTACAACGCGTCAGACAAATACATGTTACTTAGTTGCTTTTAAAGCCAGAATTTATTCTTCTCAAACCTCTTCTGGATTGATCTATAGTTTGCTTGTTTCTGTTCTACCTTGTACTGAAGATGTTATTCATGTTTGTAAATTCAATAGTCATTGGAATACACACGACTCCTTAAATACTCGAGTTCTTTTGCATTTTTGAAAGTGGATTTTGTTTTATTACTAAAATGTCTCTGATAAGATTATTACAGATAGCTCAAATGCTGTATCAGATATATTTGTTTTTCCTTCAGCTGATCCTCCATCTTTTTTTTTTTTAAGATTTTATTTATTTATTTGATAGAAAGAGAGAGAGTACAAGTAGGCAGAGCAGCAGACAGAGGGAGAGGCAGAGGGAGAAGCAGGCTCCCCGCTGAGCAGGGAGCCCGATGCGGGACTCGATCCCAGGACCCTGGGACCATGACCTGAGCCGAAGGCAGACGCTTAACCGACTGAGCCACCCAGGCGCCCTTGATCCTTCATCTTAACCAACATTTTGCCCCACCTTATGTAGTAAGAGGTTTCTTTAGGGATTATTTTCGTGGTGCTACTGGGATGGTTTCTTCCTCCAAGATTTTGGAAAGAACAAGCTGTTGCTGCCCCGGTGGCCAGAGGCTGCACAACGTGAAATGCATCCTGGGAAGCCGAGGCAGGGTGCTACACGTAGTCCCAGACCAGTGTTCATTCTGGGGTGGGTGCCAGCCGAGGCAAGGAAGAAAGGGTGAAACTCTCATGTCCTCAAATGGTTGCCACAGTTTGGCCACTTAGAAAAGAGATCTACCCAGGCCATCTGAATAAATTAATGCCATAAGTGTTCTCCCTTGTTCCCCAACACATAAACTCATCTGTAATGTTCTTTTGACCGTTAGGATCAAGCTGTAGATTAACTGTCCAGGAGAAGAGTCTTCTCAGCAGCCCAAAGTTGATTTAGATAGTGGTCCATTCAACTTAATGGTAAAGGAAAATGAAAGGCCCATTTCTCTTCTGTTAAGTAAATTTTAGATCATTTAGTATGACTTAGATTCATTCTAAACACCAGCCTAATAATACTGAGAGCAGCCATTTCTTTCACTTTGTATTTCAACAATTTGATTGCAGTCCTTGGAAATTAAGGCTCACTTCACAGCATATTAAATAAATAAATTATATATGTTAGGTAAAATGTCTTAAGCCAGGTAAAAAAATGTTAAACTGGGAAATGAAGTTTAGTGTTATAATCATGTCTCCACTGGCATTTGATGTGACCAATATCATAAGCTACAGGTGACAGGGCAGGGTCAGCAAAGAGGTGTGGTGACAGCAGTTTCTAAATAGCAAGGGAAGCAAAACCACCTGAAATCATTTCTTTTTTGAAGAAAAACATTACAATTAACAGCTGAACCCCAAAATTCTAGTGTAGTGTAAATTGCAGTTGTGCCCTAGAGTGCTCACCTCCCAATTGTTCCTGGTAGGTGTGAACAAGGAGCAGTATGTCTCTGGGTTACGTGTGGTCAAAGAAAAGTCTGGGAAATAGGGCAGAAAGTCTCTACTAAGTTGGGTTAATATTATCCTGTCCACCAGAGACATTTCTCTTTGTGTTGCAGCTTCTCCCCATGCCCCTAGTCCCTATCCACTAAGGCAGACAAATTGAAGGGGCATGAAAGAGGAATATGATTTGATGTTGGATGAAATCAGCTTGAGATTCACACAAGAAAAGGAAAGCATGCAGGTCAGCCTGGTCCTGTAGAAGTAACATTTAGATGGATGTGGATAAAGACATGCAATACACTTTGCTGTTTACATAATTTAGTGATTTATCTCTTATAACAGACACAGATGACACAAAATTTAACTACAAAGAAACATGGTCAGGTTCTCATTTTGATTTGGATTCCTTCAAAAAGAATATGTATCCATTCCAGGATCCAGATTTGCCTTCCAAGCTGAGAAAAAGGGGATGCTTGAACAATTATTGAGGAAAAAGTCATTATAAAGAATGATAATGACTACCTAGACTTAATCATCTTTTCTGACTTATCCTGTGGTCTTCCTGTATCATGAAGGCAGAAAGCATGTCTAAACCCACTGTTCTTAACCCTGGCTGCACACTGGAATCACCCCGCAAGTTCTAAAATACAGATGCTGGGCCTCACCCAGTAGTGTGCTGGTAAAAGGCTTTCCCTCCCTAAAGAAAAAAGAAAGAAAGGAAAGAAAGGAAAGAAAGGAAAGAAAGAAAGAAAGAAAGAAAGAAAGAAAGAAAGAAAGAAAGAAAGAAAGAAAGAAAGAAAGAAAGAAAAAAAAAAAAAGAAAATGAAAAAAAAAAAAAAAAGCCCTGATTTATAGTGCTTTCCCATTTCTGTGGTGTAAATACTCACACAGTGGCTAATTTTAAGCTGTCAACTGGCTTGCAAAACTCCTGAAAATTTAACAATCATCTTTTGCAAGTCAGGATGAGCCAGCTCCAGCTCACCACTGGGGTTCCACCCCTAGATATTCTGATTTATTGGTCCCTGAGGTGTGACCCAGTTATATGTATTTTTAAAACTCCCCAGGTGATTCTAATGGGTGGTCAAGGTTGAGAACCAGTAGGCTAAATGGCTACACTGATGGGCAGCTACAGCACAGTTATGATACAAATATCCCTAAGAGTTCCATAAATTATGCCTTGTGGAAAAACAGCATGGTGTAGTATTAAAAACTTGGGATCTGGAGGCAGACTGCACTGTATAGATTCTCCCTGGCTGTCTGACTTGGGTGAGTGGCCTAACATCTCTGTGCCTTGGTTGTCTCATCTGTGAAATAATATTAACTCAGGGGAGCTGATGTGAAGCTCACATGTGTTCCTATACAAGAGTCCTTAGAACAATGCCTGCCTGACCCATGGGGAGCCCTGAATAAATGCTGACCATGTTGTTCTCTGCCCTATTGTGGATGCTTGTGGAGTTCATGTCCATTTGGATTATAACTGAAGTTATTGTTTGTTTTTATTTTTTGATTTAATCCAAATTTTGGCCCACTGCGGTATCTCTCCATAAAATCTACCATGAATTTTCTGCTTTCTTTGGAATATAAAATCACAAAGGATGAATGAGATCCGCAGGTGATCACGGTTGCATTTAAGAGGGCTGGGCAAAGTAGGCCTTAGTCTTATAAAAAAGGTGAGATGGAGATGGGCACTCCTGGTGTTAGGAGGCTGCGTTTCTGCTGACTGATTCTTTCCAGGTCCCAATTTGACAATTCTGTAATTCTGCAGCAGACAGAGCCCAGCATAAATGTCACACTGATGAACTTGATCCCAGCTGTCCTATTTAACAGCTGTCCTGCTTCTCAGTGGCACTGACCTAGTTTGAGTAATTTGTGCAAAATATCTTGGTAATCGCACCAACCTGCTATTTCACTTAGCCAAATCATTATTTAGGAAACATAACCATTCTGATTAAATTATTGGGGCAATCGAATACTGCTGCAACACTTTATTCCAATCCTGCTTGATTGTTCTTCCCTGACTTTTAACAAAAGCAATTAACATATTCTTTACACTCCCCTGGGCAGCTTTGGAAGAAAAAGAAGGAGGATATATCATTACTGTCATCTTTTTAATAGGTATATACAATTATTAAAGAAATAATAAAAGAATAGCAAGTATAATGAAACTTTCTAATGTCCTAGCTGTGCCCTCTTCCATGAAATCATCTTGTCTAGGAAAACATTCAGTGAAAGAGAAGTATCACGGTGAGCACAGAAGAATCGTAATTATCTCCTCAATAACCTGACATTTCTGACTTTATTATGTTTGGTGTCATGGTGAAGAAAAAAAAAAAAGAATTCTGCTCTTCTTGCTTGTTAATATCTACTGAACCCTCTTAACTCTTCTCCAGTTTTTTTTGTACCATCCATAGGTGAGTAGCGGGGCAGGGTGGTCAGTGCTAAGAGGTAAAAGGGTTTAAAGGAAAAAGGTAAAAGAGAAAGACATAAGTCTTTCTTATGTTTCTTAAGTTTGAGAAAGACATAAGGTCAAGGATAGATTCAAGTGGTAACTTCATATAATGGAATACTATATACCAATGAAAATGAACAAGCCAGAACACTGGAAAAACACAGATTAACCTCATAAACATCATGTTTATAATCTATGATTCCATCTGAATAAGTCCCAATAGCCCGACTCTAGTATTAGAAGTCAAAACAGAGATTACTTTCTGGGGAGAGCAGAGGTAATAGGAAGGAAGGGGCATCTATTGGGGAAGCTGGTATTTATTGACCTGTGTGTTGGTTTCCTAGCTGTGTTTACTAATATATAGTGTGATAAGTAACTCAACTGTACAGTTATTATTTGTGTATTTTCTGTAAGTCTTAAAACGTTTTTAAAAAAGAAAGGAATGTTGGAATAACCGGATATACACATGCAAAAGGATGAATTTCAACTCCCTATCTGACTCCATATACAAAAAATAACTCAAAATGGATCATATACCTAAATGCTAACCCTGTAGATTATATGCATGATGTTTAATCTATGGCTTAAAACTATAAAACTCTTAGAAGAAAACATAGGTGATGTAAATGTTCATATCCTTAGATTAGACCATAGTTTCTTAGATAAGATACCTAAGACACACACAACCGACAACAAAAAAAAGATAATTGGACTTCAAACTTGGAAACTTTTGTGTGTCAAAAGACATCAGTAAAACAGTGAAACGCAACCCATAGAATGAGGGGAAATATTTGCAAATTATATATCTGATGAGGGTCTAGTATCCAGAATATATGAACAACGCTTACAACTCAACAACAAAAAGATAGATAATCCAATTAAACAATGGATAAAGGATTTGAATAGACATTTCTCTAAAGAAGATATACAAATGGCCAATAAGTTCATGAAAAGCTGAACACTATTAATCTTTAGGGAAATGCAAATCAAAACCATAATGAGATAATTGCTTCATACTCCCTAGGAAGGCTATAATAAACACCACACACACACACACACACACACACACACACACACACAACCAGACAATAACAACTGTTGGTGGGGATGTGGAGAAATTGAAACCCTCATACACTGTTGCTGGGAGTATAAAATTGTGGCTGGGTGGCTCAGTCGGTTAAGCATCTGCCTTCGGCTCAGGTCATGATCCCAGGGGTCCTGGGATCGAGTCCCGCATCCAGCTCCCTGCTCAGCGGGGAGCCTGCTTCTCCCTCTGCCTGCCTCTCCCCTTGTTTGTGCTCTCCTCTCAGACAAATAAATAAAATCTTTTTTAAAAAATAAAATTGTCCAGCTGCTGCAGAAACCAGTTTGGCAGTTCCTCAAAAAGTTGAACTTGAATTACCACTGGACCCAGCAATTCTAATCCTAGATATATATCCAAGAGAACTGAAAATATATAACCACGCAAAGAACTGTACATGAAGCATTATTCATAATGCCTGAAGAGTGGAAACAATGCAAAAGCCATCAACTGATATATGGTTAAGCAAAACATGGTATATCCATACCATAGATATTATTGGCCATAATGTGGAGTGAAACACAAGTACTTGTTAAAATATGGATGCTAAGTGAAAGAAGCCAGAAACCAAAGACCACATATTGGATGGTTCCAGTTGTATGAAATGCCTAGAATAGGCAAATCTAGAGGGACAGAAAATAGTTGAGGGGTTGTCAGGATTTGGAGGGAGGGGAAATAGGGAGTGACCGCTTTATGGGATGATAAAATTAGTGTTAACAGTGGCACAACCTCTTGGATATACTAAAATCGCTGAATTAAAAACTTTAGAATGGTGAATTTTATGGCACTTGAATTATATCTCAATAAAAAAATGGATGTGACAGTAAGTAAGTTACTGATTTTCAATTTATTTTTTCCATGGTGTAGCTCAGAAAGCTAAAGAGTTCAGGGGCCATGGCAGAGGTGGTTGGACAAACCAGGCCACTTTGCTCCAGTGGAAAATGAATTCTTGGGCATTGCGTCTCTTCAGAGCTGAATGAAAAATGCTTGCTGCAGATATTTTTAATCAAGACACTCCCACTGTTAATGCCACTCCACTTAGGCTGGATTCTACCTGTGAGGCTGCTCTGGATTCTCTCCTCTGGCTAATAAAGCAATTTGGGAGGTGAGTGTCCTTTCCCAAACCTGCTGGAGGTGGGATATTAAAGAGGGTGGAGTGCCTTTGCAAGAGGAAACCTGTGACTGATGAGATCGGGCTTTGCTGGAGAGAGAGAACCAAGCAGAAGACCAGCTTGATGAAGTCATCGCCACATGAGAGGACAGGAATGGAATAAAAATGGAGAGAAACGTAACCTTTACCATTGTGTTTCTGCAAAAATCCAATGACCTTTTCCAGCACAGTTGTTTTGTCCATTTTCCGCGTGTTGCCAGGGAGCATGGAGCTAAGCTCTTTGATGAGAACATTGAACTGGTCCCGACGCTTCTTCTCAGATTTGTTTCGAGAAGCTCTGTAAACACAGAACACACCGGTTACTAGAACATTCCACTGCATAAAGGCTTTATTATGAAATGGAAGTCTTTTCCATCAGAGTGTGTTCTGTTGTGATCATCTTATCAGAACTCTTTCAGGGAAAATAACATTCGCCACATTTCAGAGTTGGATAATGGGGACAGAAAAATGTTTTGCCAGACTTCTGGCCACAAAGACAGACAGTGCTAATAAGTAAGTTCTGACTCAGATGCAAAATCTTATAGATTAGCTCCGTTGCCGGATGCTGTTCAGTCTGACTTCATGGAGCTTTAAACTTCAGAGAGCAAATGACATGCTGTGTACATGGGGGCAGCCCACAGGGTTTTGCTCTGAGAGCCCTTCCTTAGGCTCTAACCATGTCCCCTCCACCCCGGAGCACCCAGTCCTAGGCATCAGGTTACTAGGGGAAACCAGGTACCCTGAGAGTCGGGCAGAGAGCCATGCCGCACAGGGCGTATGTCCTGGCCCCTGCCCCAGAGCTCATCATCCTGTGTGGAGATGAGGCACAGACACACCCCACACAAAAATGTCTGCAAGCCGTGCTCGACCTGGGGCCAACGTACGACAGAGAACATGGATGGCTGTCAAGCTGCTAAGAGCGGATGAACCCTTTTAGAGATGACTTAGAGGAGCCTTAAATGCATAATACTAAGCGGAAGAAGCCAATCGGAAAAGGCTACCTGCTGCATGATTCCAGCGATATGACATTCTGGAAAAGACAAAACTATGGAGACAGTGAAAAGATCATGGCTGCCAGGGACTGAGGTGGGGACGGATGAATAGATTTTTAGGGCAGTGAAACTCCTCGGTATGATATTATAATGGTGGATCCACATCATTTTACATTTGTCCAAACTCAAAGAATGTATAATACCAAGAGTGAGTGCTAATGTAACCTATGGACTCTGGGGGATAATGATGTGTCAAGGTAGGTATATCCATTGTATCCACTGGTGGATGTTGGTAACAGGGAGGGTGTCCATACACAGGGACAGGGGATGTATGGGAACTCTCTGTACCTTCTGCTCTGTTTTTCTGTGAACCTACAACTACTAAAAAAAAAAAACCAGTCTATTTAAAAAATGACACACTACACAGCGCATCTACACAGAGATCAAAGTAGAGCTGCTTGGCTTGAGAGGAGGGGACCTCTGAAGAAGCCTGGGATCCTCAGGAACCAGAACCGGAAAGCACGGCTATAATGGCTGTTCTAGAAATAGCCAGACAAGGAGCACGTGTCACAGTTAGCCTGCCCTCACCCCGAGGAGGTCTGGGAAGGAGCAACACTCCAGAGGTCTTGACCTTTAATGACACACCACAGACCCAGGGGCTGGCTCTCCGCCCCACGGGACCAGCCCCCCATCAACAGTCACCTTGGCCAAAGGGGATCGAGAGCTGACCCACCTTCCTCATTTCACCCAGGATGCACTTGTTCCACAGTCAGCTCACTGAAAGAATAGGAGCGACAGCTGCGGGGCCCATCAAACGTGGTCTACCTGCTGCTCCAGGTACCCTGGGGCCTGGCATCAAGGTGCCCAGGGCAGCCGATCACTTACCAGGAGGCTACTGGCCAATGTGCAGTCAAGACAGGGTGCTGGTGGCTTGTGACAACTCAGCAAATTCCCATCAGAGGGCTTCAGCTCCCTTGGGGTAGGTATCCATATCTACAGGTATCAGCATCAATAAAGATTCTGCTTCCCCAAAGAGCCCCGGCAAACACGGGGACACAAGGCAAATATCCTCTTCTTAGATGTCACGGTGGCCATAACCACTCTGCTTGCCTCTGCTAAGGACACACGATCTGCCTTTATTTCAACACACCTGTTGACAAGCCATCCTTTGCTGATTATATCTCAGTTTGGGTTCCTTCCTGATAATACCCGAGGCAATTCTTACCTCAAAGCTTACCTCAAGTGTGTGATCACTACCCATACATAAGGGTCTCCGTATCCTGACTTTTCCCTCATTCCTAACCTTTCTGGATTTGGGGAGGACCTGACACCCTTAAGGGGTTTCTACAAAGGCCTCATTCCTAGCCAAGTAACCACCCTCATATATGTGTTCTCAGACTTATAGACTGAACGCAGGTGTCCAAGGAAGATGCTAAGGTGCCTTTTGCGAGTCTAGGGTAAAAAGCATAATGTTCAAACACATAGGAGAGAAGAAAGGAACCTTTTAACTTTCTGAGTGACTGTCTATGCATTATAAATAATTTTTTGGCCTAGATTTTAAAGAGTGACATGCAGCCTCCTTAGCCAAAAAAAGCTCTGTTCCTGTCCTAGTTTGCCCATTATAAATTATTTGTGAGCCGATAACACCCAGCTCATTATTAGTCTGTTCTCTTCTTCAATGGGTGTAATGAAAACCAACATGGCCTGGCAGAGAATACGATGAAGGCTTATATCATTAGTGACAGAAACACAAACTTGTTTCTGTCAGTCTCCGCCTGGGACACACTATGGTGCCCACTGGAAATCGGTCATTGTCAGCTGGATCTGCAGCTCTGAGGCAAGAGAAAGAAAATGAGCCTCGAATGACCTTATTTCCAACAAGGAGGTCATCTTGGCAGGCCCAGAGACACCACACACAAGGCACCGGGACAACCAGCTGAAAGGCACTTACTTCATCAGCCTCTGGGTTTGATTTTTCTTTTACGTCATTATTTACATTCAATAAAATTCATCCATTTTAAGCGTACAGTTTGATGAATTTTGGTAATTGTGTAACCACCACCCAAACCCAGAGTCGAAATAGTTCCCTCGTCCTGAAAGGTGTTCTCCTGTGTCTTGGGGGTGGAGCTTCCCTCGATGACAGCCACAGGAAACCACTGATTTGCTGTCACTTTAGTTTTGCCATTTTTAGAATTTCATATAAATAGAATCAGACAGCATATAGACTTGAACATACAATTAGCGTTAAGTTTCTGAGATTCATCCATGTTGTTCCTTTTGACGGCTGACTAGTATTCCACTGGGTTGTTTCCCACTTTAGTTTTGCCATTTTTAGAATTTCATATAAATAGAATCAGACAGCATATAGACTTGAACATACAATTAGCGTTAAGTTTCTGAGATTCATCCATGTTGTTCCTTTTGACGGCTGACTAGTATTCCACTGGGTTGTTTCCCGTTCAGGGCGATTGAGAATAATGCTGCTCTGAGTATTCACATCCATGTCTCTGTGTAGACACAGGCACACCTTTCTCCTGGGTAAATACATAGGTGTGAAATTGCTGATTCATAGTCTAAGTGTATGTTCACCGTGATTAGATATCGCCATGCTGTTAGGCCAAGGGGCTGGACCGTGTCTGCACGTCCACCAGCAGTCTATGAGAGTTTGTGTTCCTCCACATGCTTGTCAACACATGGTACTGTCAGTCTCTTCCCACTTTAGGCACTGTGATGTTTCCTCATTGTGGTTTTAATTTGCATTTTTCTGATGACTAATGACGTTGGACACCCCTTCAGATGCTTAATGTTGTTTCATATATTTTCTTTTGTAAAATGTCTGCTCAAATCTTCTGCCCATTTTTCAATCGGGTTGTTTGTCTTCTTATTGAATTGAACAGAGAGAGGGGGGAGAGAGAGAAAGAGAGGAGGGCTGGAAGGGAAGTTGTGTGTGTGTGTGTGTGTGTGTGTTAAATATACATTGATACAAGCCTGAACCTTTGGTTTTGAATGCAGGGCTCAAAAAGCCCCAGGTGATCTTTTCTGGTATCCCTCAAGGGACAATGTTTCCATAGATAATTCGTCGGGCACTTACTATGTAACAGGCACTATTTTAAATCTTTACATACATTAATTACTTTAATCCTCGCAATGACCCTTTAAGATAGATACTATAATTCCCAGTTCACAGATGAAGCAGCTGAGGCACTGAGACGTTACGTGACTCACTGAAGTCACATGACTGGGAAATGGTGGAGCTGGCCGGCTTGGGTGCCCGTTCCATGAAGCAGCGCACCCTCCTGCCTCCTACAGCTCCCTCCAGAACCATCGTGAAGGTATCTGTTATGGAGCTATGCACCAGTGCTCTGGGAGCACAGGACTAAGAGTGACAGATTCTGGCTGCTTGGGGTTATAGCACAGAAACAAAACATATTCTGCAGAAAAATGGCATTGCATGCTAATAGGATGATGGTAGCTATGTTCAGGGAAGAATACCGCAGAAAATCAACTTAAAACAGCCAACTGAAAGAAGCTTAGAGTCTAGAGGAAGAGGTGCAATTCACACATCAGGTGCAATGTGATATGGGTTAGGAGACAAGTTTAGACAAACTGCCAAAGGAGTTCAAAAGGGAAGGAGATCAGCCATGTGAGGTGGTCAGGGAAGCCCTCAGGGGAGGGGATGATGCGAGGTGGCCCGGAGGGGTGAGTGGGCAGGTGGTGGGGAGACAACCAAGGAAGAGCCGAGTGGTCAGCTTTGACAGGACAGTTGGTGACATGTGGGAAAGTAAAGTGAGAGAGAGGACAAGAAGAGTGAGGCCAACCACAGAGTCTCAAATGACAGTACAGGCAATTTGGTCTCAGCTTTTGATGAGTCCGGGACAGGGTACTGATGGGCAGTCTGGGGGAGGGAAAAGGTTAGGACATCACGAGAAAGGGGAGAGGGACCCAACTCAGGGGGAAGTGAGCAGAGACTGGAAGAAGAGGTGAGGGTGGTCGGGCACAGGACCACAGTGCCCTGCATGGCTACGGGCTGTGTGCCCCAGCTCGGTACTAACCAAACCCCTTGCTGAGGAGATAGGGGAGAAAGTGGGGAGCCTCACCTGAATTTCATTTGTCTAAGAAAAAGTAATGCTGATGGTATATACTTTTAAAATTTTTACTCTCGAAATGAACATATAGTAAACCTGACTTTTTCTTTTGGGCACAGTTCTATAAATTTTCGCATGCGTATAAATTCATGTAACCATGATCACAACCAAGAGACAGAAGAGTTCCCTCTAAAGCTCCTTCATTCTCTCCACACCTGTAA